ATTATTTGCTAATTATAATCTCGTAATAGATTTTTGTATGATAATTAAATGTGTGTGTTAACACTATTTTAGGAGATTAATTTGTTATTATTATGACTTTTTGTATATCTAAATGGTGTAGACAATCAATTACGAGGTAGAATGAACACCATTCAATCTTGTCAATTTCAAAATCCATTAAGTTTCTCTTTTATCTTATTGGTATTAATACTCTAGTTGGCTTGTATAAGGATAGTCATTGGAAAAAAGTTCTAATCAATAAAGAATTGAGTAAAGTATAATTGTGTAAAATGTCGTAGAGCATAGTTGTTAAGATGTCAAATATGAGGGTATTACAAATGGTATCAAAGAAATCGTTTCTCCTAGTATGACATTGTTTGGGGAAAAACCAGGAAGAAGCTAATGGGTTGTAATATCCCATACACACTAGAATGAAAGGGATTGAAGATGGATTAAATGAATTAATCGGTACTACTTATATGCACCTATTTTACGATAGTTCTTCACTTAAAAGAACTAAATTTGCTTGATTTGGATCAATTTAGAGATATGTGACCTTCTAGAAAGTTTCATAAAAGTATGAGTAAGAAAAAAACACGCTAAAAAGTTTTATATATGTTTATAGAAATAGTCGTTAATCCTAAATATATCTCAAAAAGGGATATCCACAAAAGGTTTTCATCACTGAAGGGTTATAACTAACAAAGAGTTATGTAAACTATCATCGTGAAAAATATCGTAGAATGCAACTACTAAGTCGTCAATGTGCATTACATTCTTCTCATTCTCTCTATCTCTTTTTTGTTGCATTTAGTTTTTTATATAATCTGAATATTTTGTCTTAATTAAGGGCATCATTCATATTGTAGTTCATATCATAAAAGGAAATTTGGTTAATATCATAAGTGTATCGTATGATATTGATTGTGGAAATAAAAATTGAAAACTTTTATTTTGAAAATACATGAGATTTAAGAAATTTTTTCAAAGATATAATTTATTTCTCTTCCTTTGGAAATCTAGCCTCTTTTACTAACGAAGGTGGCTACCATCTTAGTCATACATGAGACATTGCACAATACATCACTCTTAAGTCAATTTTGACCTTCACTATAAATTTCACTACCACAAAATGTCTTTTAGCATTGGCAATATACACTTGTTTTTGTATAATCAATATAGAATGTGAGGCCAATGTTATCATACTCGATCCATTAGGTGACTTAGTTAAAGTATCAAGTTAGTAGGCCAGAGGTCGAACCATTGGGTCACAAATTGACCCCTATGACTTGATTTATATTAACAAGTTATAAATAATTGACTACATGTAAAATTTGTTTCAAAAAAGATATTATAAGCAGGTTAAAAACATATTGTAAAACTTTCATGAACAAAGACATTAAAATTTCCAAGATTACAAACATTCTCATCAAATTAGAATGAGGGCAACTAAGCAACATAATAAACAAAAATTAAAAAAAAAAAAATTCATGTGCAAGCAAGTAGCAACAGAGCAACCAATCCAACTAGAAAGTAATAGACAAAATAAAAAAAATGTAGTTAATGACTCATGTATTAGAGAAAGGTCATGTTGTGCGATGAGTAGATGATGAATGCATCATTGTACAATGAGGATAAATGACTAATGATGACAAATGTTGAAGGATGTGTCATTGTACGATGAGAAGATGATAAATGCACACCACTGACAAGGTTGCACCATCGTTGTTGGAGTGTACGACTGTGAGAGAGGAGAGACAACAAGCATTGTGTAGTACGATTGGAACTATGCCATGGAGGAGAGTGTTGAACGAAGGAGATGGATGATCATAGCAAAGCCACAAACGTCCTATTGCTAAAAATAAAAAATAAGAAAAATATATTGACCTAACCAAGTCATCCAAATCCGTCAAATCACTAGTTTTAGACCAAGCTCGTTGAGTCAAATCGGGTCGCAATGGGTAGAAAGTATCCTTGATTCATTGTCCGACTCATATTAGTTAAATGATTAATTTTTTGATCAATCAGTCAGATTGGTCAATCTGAGTCAAACCTGATAATACTATGCGAGATAGTGATAATTTTGTAATATTGAAGATAGTTTAGATTGGTTATACAATAAGAAAATGCTTTCTAAATTGTTTTCAAGAGAAATCGATCTAAAAAGTATGTTCTATTAGTTATTTGGATATAGATGTGGAATCTTGATTTTTCTTTTTTGCAACTTTTGAAACTCCTAGTAAGAACATTCTACATTAGTTGTACTAAGAAGCAATCTAGAAAGTCTTTCATAATTTAGTTTTCTGTGCAATCAATTTAGAAATTCAATATATATTAACTCCTTTTAGATTCGCGCTCATATTTTGGCTCTTGCCTTAATTTTGGATCCATATTCAATAGATGACAGCAACTTGATTTGGTTGTTACTTGGAGACCATAAAATAATGCCACAAAAAATTTGCATCGATGAAAAATAAAAGACACGCAATAATACAATTGAATTTAGATATATTGGAATAGGTAGAATAAAATAGGTATGTGTCTAACATTTTAGTTACACCATGAAATATGAATCAAAGATAAATGTTATCTTGTAATTTTTGTTGGCCAATTATGAATTATAATTGAACAAATGTTAGACGTATAAGTGACAAACATGCAAATAGGTTGAACTATTTTGTACAATTTACTCAAAAAGAAAAATGCTCCCATATATTAATGAAAGATTTTATTTTTGTAAAATGTTTGTATAAAAAATAATTAGGCAAATATTTATGAAATTACCAATCAGTTCACTTTTTATAATTTAATTATCTCAATTACATCTAATAATATCTGAATTTTACTTCTAACATTCTTTTAAGAATTTTTAGTTTTATTTATAACATTGTTTTTTAACAGAATTTTTATAACTATCTTAACCATTGTTTATATCTAATATTTTTAATTAATCTATTTTACAATTACTGTGTATTTTAAAATTTATTTAATATTAACTGCATGTTTAAAAATGAAATTATATAAATTAAATCATTCAATCCCATCTAAACTACATTAATCTATGAAATATAAATTATATTTAATTGGAATAAATTAGACTGAATTTGATATTATACTTAAACTAAAAATGTACTTTATTTATATGATAAGATTGAATGACTTTTTTAAAAATAAAACTTAACTTATACGGATAACTCACAAATGTATTCAATGGTGGTCCATAAAACTCAATTACCATCTAAGTATCTGCATTGTTACTCCAACGATTAACTCATAATAGCGAGACATAACTTTTAACCCTTCATGTTACCAAGAAGACTTTGTTCCATGAAACTTGACAAATTCTCATTTACAACGGTCTCATTGTTAATGGTCTCATTCTTGGTCTCATTGTCTACCTTATCAGACATCATACTCATTTAGTCGGTCACCTAATCAACCATTAACTCGGATACCACTGTTGAGAACAAAAAAATTCCTTCTCTTTTATGCATAACAATAATGAGAGTATAAACAAAAACATCATAAAAATAAATAAAGATCACACAAAATTTATTTAACGTGTTAGGCCCTTCATGCTTTTTTTTTTACGAGGATATTCATTATCTCAAAATATGTTACATATATGATTATGAAAATCCCCCTTTCAAGTTTTGTAAGTGAAACTTGAAAATCCCTTCCTCATAGGTTTTACAGGTGAAACTTTGAAACTCTTCATTTACAAGTTTTATGAATGAAACTTAAAAACCCCTTTCACAAATTTTGTGAACAAAACTTGACAAATCTCACTTCACAAGTTTTCTCGTGAAATTTAGCAAACCTCTTCACTATTTTCCAACGAACAAATTCTCTTTCTTATGACCTCCTCTCTCATTTAAGATAATGACCCCTTCTACAGGTTCTTTATTAATGCAACATAATCTTAAAATAGTAAACAAATCTTAAAATAAATAAAACATCTTTAATTCTAAAAAATACTCTAAAGACAAATGATAATTTTTTTTATATGTAAATAATATCTTAGAGATTTGAAATAAAAAATTTAAATTATTTTTTCAATAATTTTTCATCAATTAAAATTTTCAAACTTAATTTTTTTATTATTATGGATATTCATCATAATCATACTTCTGTTCTACATTATTTCTTGTTTTTATTTCCTAAGTTAATCTTCAGTACTCAAATGACAAATAAGCAAACCGTACAAATTATAAGCTCTGATACCATTATAAAAAAAAAGAAAAAAACAACACCCTGATAAATTTTAAAGGCCTATGAAATATAAATGTTATTCACTTTTGCTTAAAAGAAACTTTTATTGACAACGTTAAAATCAATGAAAAAGTTAATTTTTCTCGGTCACCAAAAAAAATGAAGATAGTTTTCGTTGCACATTCTGAATATGTATAAATACATGCTGGAAAACGCAACTTCACTCAAATGCAACAATCTGTCTAAATCTAACACCGTAAACTAACATGGTTACTGACCGATTATGAATTTAAGTTTAAATGTAGGTTTAAATATGTTTATAATCCCTCAAATTTAAAATAAATTTGTTTTTGATCCTTCAAATTTGAAACTGTTATTTTTAGTCCCTGAAATTTTTAAAAATATTATTTTAGTCCCTTAGGCCACTAATAATATATATGAAAATGACAAATTAAGATGATTAAATAATATCAATTAAATTTAATGTGATGTTTTCACTAATAGTAACACTAATAAATATTTGATAAATTTTTTAATAAAATTTGAATATAAGGACTAAAATAAGATTTTTTGAAATTATAGGGATTAAAAACAATAATTTTAAATTTCAGGGACCAAAAACAAATTTATCCTAAATTTGAGGGACTAAAAACATATTTAAGCCTTAAATGTATTTCTCCTCCATGATGTGTAGCATAGCACTCAAATTTTAGCAAAGCTATATCATATTGCAGCTTTGAATGAAACTTGTGTCTGATACAAAATACAGTCCTTGGACAGGGAAACCATCCTAGAAAGATAAACCCATATTTATTTTATAAACATAGATGCAGCTCCTCCACTAAAAGATGCTGCATACAATGCACACCTCAATCACATAATAATAATATATAATGTACATATACAAGATATAGCCAATCAAACAACTAGCTCTATATCTTATTGGTAACATCCCCAAAAGGAAAAATCATATTACAAACCTTTCCAGTAAAAAAACAAAAAGGAGAGAGAGGGAGAGAGAGAGAGAATGAAGAAGAAAAAATGAATGAATCTAATTCTAGAAGTGGCAATGTGAGTGTTAGAAGTTGCAACAGCAATCACTGATGCTCCCTGAAATTCAGCAAGTTAATCTCCTTTACAACTCAAGATGTATCCCTGCACCAGAAAGAAGAATAAGATATTTACACCAGGAGCAAGATCTCAGAGATGTTCAAATACTCGAATTGATAATATTGAGACCAAGACAAGTATTAGTTGATAAAGTCCAATCTAATAGTACCCACTGAGTTATAAAAGTTTTAACAGTCAAAATATGTAAAAGGGAGGTCTTGATAACTTGGTGGACCCTGGACCCTATGGAAATTTTGGAATAACTCTCGGATCCATGTAACGGTCTTGCTTAGGATTCTTCCTTACCTATTAATTGTCATTAACCATAGACCTACCTATACTACTGAGTTATCATTGTTGGGATCCATATGGTTAACCAAACAATTCAACACAGTTGTATAAATATGTTACAGGAGGAAACAAAACCTTAGCCTTTGATTCAAAACTAAACAAATTCTAGTTACTTTAGAGACACTAGCACCCGGTCAAATTTGGATAAATTCTGAACTCCAACCAGTATTAAAGTAGTGCAATGAACAAAAGAATACAGAGAAAATGTAGGTGCTATAAATTGGTAGCTTATTAGTTGGAAGTGTTGAACTATTGTTAACTTAATGTGTCATGGTCCAACCTCAACCTGAACTAGTAGTTCCCAAGCCCTTAAAAAAGTGATGGAGAATATAGCTGGCGGCCAAGGCAAAATCTAAGAGGAAAACACGCACTTACTAATAATATTAGAATAATGCTAGCAACACTCTCTCTAACACTTCCTTACTAATACTTTCATTATTATGGATTGAAATTCACAAATTTTGATAGATCCTATCACCAAATCAAGTGAGATAACCATTAAATGAGATGTGAGACCTACAAAATTTGTAATTTTTAATAAATTTCAGCTAATAATATTGTTAGAAAAAAGTGTTAGGGAGGGTATAATTAGCAACTACATAATATTATGACCAGGACATTCTCTCTTCATAGTCAATTTTAGTCTCCGGGAAGTTTCTTTTGGCAAGGGTTGATTCTCAACAAGAGTGGGTGGGTGGTTGAGTTGGATGAGAATAGTTCATTTGAATCTGATGCATGCAAGACAAGCTTGTATATGATATATGAAGCAATTCACCTGTTCCAGTTAAGCAGCAAAATTCCAATTACTTAAATTTGGTATGACTTGTTCATTTTCGATCTCTGCATCAGTGAAAGTTAGGGCTCGCTGTAGCTTCCTAGGACAGTATGCCTCAACTTCAACCATATACGTGGCAGTCACAGGTCTGTGATCAGACAGTTTGAGCTCAGCCCTTCTGTAACTCAATAATCTCATACCCTTTCCATATGAAAGAATACGATCACACCTGAAAGACAATTATAAACACAGAAAAATCATCAATGGAAAGAAATGCAACAGATATCACTAGTTCATACATAAACCATGAAATCGGATTTAAGGATATAATAAAGTCATCATTTTCAAAAACCATGTGTCATAATTATCACATTCAATTAGAATTTTGCAAAAATTAGAAATTGAATCTGGTTTTAGGTACTAATGTGAAAACACTCTTCTAAACCATGTGGATCTCTTACAAATGCAATCAAGTTCACTAGTATTCCAATGAGACAATTCATAATTTCAAATTCTGAACTCTCTAGATATTTCGCATAAATTCTCTTGTATACATTTCAAGGTATGCTACAGCTACACAATGATTAATCCAGTCTAAAATGTCCTTCCAATTTTAGGGAAAAGAAAAAGAATGGGAAGCATTCAAGTAATGAAAGATCAAAATTATGATAAGGTTTAGCAAACATGGAAGCAAAACCTCAGAATAAAAGCATACCATGCTGGTGAGCGCTTTCCAGCCCTAGGATCCTCTCCGTAGTATTTATCTGAATTAACCTCATACTTATAAGTTGGTGGAAAGTTTAACATGCCTTCTGACCATCCTCCAAACACACCATTCTTGAGTTCTCGCATGAGCTGTCATAATATGATGTTAATTTATCAAACAGCCAGATATAATTTGATAGGAACCAGAGCAAAGTAGTTGGAACCGTTGTAGAATTGTTAGTTATAGTTGTTCATAGTACTTAGTTACAGAATTAGCTTATAGATTAGCTTAGATAGCAGAAGTAAAATAGAAGGCAAGACATTTGGAATTGTTAGTATCAGATAACCGAAAGGGGACAATATTGAAAGGAGGTTCATTCTGGGTCTTTCTATCTTTCATTTTCATTCAATTGTAGTTTGTTTGTTTGTAACACCATCACCTTGCAACTTGAGTTTTACTTTTTGAAGTAGAAGCTTTCCGTATTTCATAACTTTAAACTAAAACAAAGAATTACATGAATTATGATGCATGGCTATCCAGTTAGGAACCATTACAAAAGGGATGATTAACAAGTAAAATAAGACAAGAATAGAAGATATAACAGTTTTTTCGGAACCCCATTATGCAAGTGTACAGAAACGAATATTGTTATATAGAAATATGCAGTTTTTCATATATGAAAGCACTGGAGATAAACATAACATACATATGTTCAGTTTTAGGAATAATATGCTGGCTCCAAAAAAATGTGTTAAGTCTAAGTTATGACAATGTTTAAAACTAAGAAAACTACGAATACAAATTCTAATCCACAAAAACAAGGGAAAGTACTCCAGTACATCCTAGCCTCTAAGAGCATTTAACACATAACTTACTGTATACATATGTATTCTTTCTGAAAATAAACTTGAGACTTCCAATTAGTTAGGGCATTCATTTGGACAAAAGATTTCTTCAAAGTTTCCATTCAGTTTTTTGTTGTTTGAATAGCATAATGCATATGATCAACAATATTTTGAAATTTTCATTTGAATGTATGTATCTATGTACAATTGTCACTCATGCTAATATTGATCTCATCGCTTTCTAGTTTCTATAAATAAAATTTATTGGTTTAGAAAGACAAAAAATAGATTCACCAATTTATTGGCTTTCACATTTATTACTATTCAGCCGTTAAAATTACAATTTCTTGTCACTGATAAATTGTTTCGACCAAATCTTAAACTTTAGTTAACTACCACACTTCATATTTAAAAAGTTAAATTCAAACTAAATGCTTTTATGAGAAAATCAAACATATCTAAAATTATTATTCAAGTAATGCACTTAACTAGTAATATTTATATTAGTGACTTGTTAACTTGGTATGAAATGAAAAGAGAATAACATTTGAATGGCTTCACTGGTTTGCAAAATATTTTTACTTATGGGATCAAAATGTCTTTACAGAGGTTTTTTTTAAGACATAAATAAAAAATAAAAATAAAAAAAAAACTTTGAAGTTGGCTTGAACCCAATCAGGTTAGACAATATCAGATTAGACCTTATTAACTGGACTCCAGAGGAATTTGAGCAGAACATACAAAATGAAAGAGTTGCTATAGTACCTGATCTTTCTCAACCAATGTTGCCCACTGCTTTCTTGAGATAAGAGCTTTTGTTTCCACATTTGATAAATTGATACGATAATTCAGATCACCCAACCAAATGATTCTTCTGCGGATAAATTGAATTGATTAAGCAATTATAAAAAAACGAAACTTTTAAAGACAAAATTACAGTGAAGCTAAAAATGCTTCAACCAAGTGAATGAAGCAAGGTCAAACTGCCTAATTCACTATATTATGGCTTGCAATTCTTTCCAGTCATGTTCAACACACAAAATGCTTAAAAAATATTGAATTATTTGGCCATATAAGATGTTCTTTTCATTTAGTTAGTATTAAGAGAAGAAAAAATGAGACCACATGTACATTTATACAGTAACATAGTTGGAAGGTTCAAGAGATAAGGTAACCTCCAACGTCGGGTATCTGTTGTGACCTTTTTCTGGTTTAATAATCCAGAAAATATATAAATAAATCTACCTAATTTGTTTGTGTAATTCTCAAGTGTAATGTCATACGATTGGTTCTGATGTTAGTGTTACAACTAGTGACGCTTATTTGAATACAAACATTTAGCAAGCTTGCGACTCATTCATGGACATGCAAAATATATGCGTAGAATACAAACCCAGTCCTTTGGCCCCATAACCTTTGCTTAATACACATGAATAGCCAGTTCAATTCCAGCAAATATAGCATATTTATGCAAGATGACGAACCAACTAATTCTTGAAGAAATGCAGTGTCTTAAATTATGGTGATTAATTATTTATTTAGCAGGGTTTGCTCATGAATTGTCAATTATAAATATATGTTACATACACAGGGAGTCTAGCAGAGGTTAGCGCATCAACAATTTCAATTCGAGAGTCCACAACCAGATAATCTTAAAAATGTTAGCAACCACCTCATTCCTAGTCAATCTCCGTTTCCCACTATAAACATAATTTTGGGCCAAATATAACTCAAAGACATAGACAAGTGATAAACCCATAGAAATATCACAACAAATAATTATGCTAAAAGATGAAGAAACCAACAGGTAGTGCATAAGTCAAACATACGATATGAAAAAACATACAGCAGTTCTAATAACAGTAAAATAACATTTTTGTTTGTCATGATATATTAAAGCATGCACTCACTCATGATCAAGGATTCCTTTGGGAAGCCCAATATAAGAAAGTGAATGAAAGTGGGTTCTACGGAGTATTTCATGAACATCAGCATTTCTTTTATGTTCGTCTCCTTCCTTTTCACCTGAGGTAAGGTGGGAACATATGAAACAAAAAAGTGTCTGATGTATGGACATGCTGACAGATATTGATCCCTGAAAAAATTGAAAAGGTTTTAATAATCTGATGCAATATTGATCAGATGGTCACTCAACATAATATTCGATATCACCAATAGTACAATCAATCTAATTCAAAAACCCACCATAAACTAAAAGATCAGCTTAATCATCACAAAGTTATTCAAAACGTATGAAGCTATTTAGGTTTGGAGAGGGTTATTTCCTCTTTTCCATAATATTAATCAAAATATGATTAATAAAAAGATAAAGAGGAGAATGACTTTATGCCTGATTGGCTGATTCAAAGAAAATATCATGATCAAAAAAGCATGAACATGGGCCATAGGTTTGTCATGCCTTTTGAGATAAAAATCATACAGAACAAGAGAACAAAGATGGTAACAAGATCAGCAGGCAATGAGAAAATCAAATACCAGCAAGCAAAAAGAAAGTTAAAGGTAGAAGAAGGAAAAATGTAAAATAAAATGCGCAGAGTTTGAGCTTATGAGGGACTATGAAACAGAACTAAAGTACTTTATTCCTTGATAGAGCAAGCAATATATAAGAACCCAATATCATAATTATCATTAGGATAATACAGGAAAATGTTTAAGACAAAAGAAAAAGTTATATGGACCATACGAAAAAGTTATTAGAATAATACAGGAAATTAAATAAGACAAAATAAAAATGTAAAAAGGAGACTGACTTTATGCCTGATTCAAAAAAAATATCATGACCCAAAAAACATGAAGATGGACCATAGGTTTGTTATGACGAATGAGATAAAAATCATAAAGAACAAGAGCAAAGACCTTAAACCCTAAACCCTAAACAACGATGAATTACCATGAGAATATAACTACAATGACAAAAATAAACAATTTTAAGCTGTGGAAAAGAAAATAATCTGAAGAAAGAGCAAAGACCTTGTTACCAATATAGCCCATAACACCAACACCAACAGTTGAAACCTTTAAATTCTGAATATGTTTACGCAAGCTCCGACGAACCCATATGGTGATGAAAATCCCAACCATTTGCTTGCTCACAATCCTTACATATGATGATCTTCTTTTTCGCTTTATCAAAGTTTCAAGGTCAATTTCAGGAAGCAATCCTATCCCTGGCTTTTCATCCATAATTGACTTGAAAGAGTTATATGTTTTGAACGACTTTGATGATTTAAAGGATTTGAGTGATTTAAAAGAAGTTGGTCTATCCAAGACGCGCTGAGAAAGCAGATGTAGTGGAGGCTCAGGCCAGCTCAAACCAATCCTTTCAGACCCACTAAGCATTCGGGTTAGTTTAGTGTCCTGTTGGACAAATGACGTGTCCATGTTTTCTGGCAAACCTTGTTGCCTATCAAACATCTTTGGAAAAGAAAACTGTCTCTGTAAATCAGTTTTAACTGGCAAGTCGGAGTTTGCAATATAAGCAGCATCAGAAGCTGATAAACTTGTATTCATAGATTCATCCATGAATATTCCATTAGAACCTCCATCACAAATATTGTTTTCTTCATCCAAAGGATGGACTTCCTCACCAACATCACTATCACTTTCAAGTAATAATTCTTCTTCTATATCCGGGACATCATCTGATGGCTTAAATTTTGATGGAGACGGAGGGTCACTGAAGGACTTTATCTTTGGTATTTCAGGTCGAACTCTATTGAGTGTATCTCGAATAATATTCTCCCATTTTGGAACAGGACGAGTATCTTCAGCACCAAAAATGTTACCAGGGTTTAAGGGTACAATCTCCTGAAGACTGCAAGTGTGAAGCATTGTTTTAGTCAAACAAATAGGATGAGTCTTGAAAGCATGAAATAGAAGCATTATAGCAGAAAATATTTTAAAAGTGATTACAAAATGGTAAGAAATGTATTCAGGAGTATATGCAATATCAGAACTCAGAAGTAGAGAAAAAAGAAACTTATGACTAACACCAAAAATTCATTCATAAATGTCAAAACCGTGATTGGCGTTGTGTATTTTAGGAAGTTTCTAACGCTTTCATTCATCTAAATCATGTACTTAAGGATTGTGTAAGTAAGTTTTAGTATTTTATTTCACTAATTGTGGTCTCACATCTTTTGAAGGGACCAATGGAATGGATGAGCTTAAAGATTTAAGGTCAAATCCTTCCCAAGAAGGAGGAAATGATGGAGGACCATCCTTGGAGCTTCATGTGGGACCCATCAATAGGTCCATGGCTAGGAGATTGGAAGAGGATAGGGGAGCTAACACCCCTAGAGGCATGCTTCTTATGGTTAAAGAATATTGATCTTTCTCCTAAGCTTTGTTAGTGTACTGTCCGTACTGCAAGGCCAAGCTCCCAGCTCGGCGTTACAGCACAAGATGACCTCGGGCACGCACTACGCAACGTTAGCTCGGCATTTAAGCAGATCATAACTGATCTCAAGGTATCTCGCTCCAGTTGAGATCCACTATCTGATCTTATCATATCTTATCTCAGGCCCAAGGCCCAAAGCAACCCTAATTCACACTAAGGTACGTGCATTACTTATACGAGATTCATACTCCCACAAACACTAACTTTAGCATCGGAGTCTCTTTTGCAGGTACCACCCCCATCTTGGAGCACCAGCGTACCAATCACCTTTTCAAATGAGTGAGGACCAACTCAAATTGAAAGCCAAGAAAGATGAAGAGGAGAAAAGCAAAAACAAAAACAAAAACAAAAACAAAAGAATTCTCTTTTTGGAGAGAAAGAAGGGCTAGGTTCAAGAAAACCTTAACCCTTGTGCCATCCTCATTCTTTTGGTGCCAAAGAAAGATGGCAATAGAGGATGAGCACCGTTTATGAAAGCCATCATTAAATAAAGTTTAGGCATCCAATCCCTAAGATAGATGATTTGATGAATGAATTGCATGGGGTCACCAAATTTTTTTAAATTTTCCTATGTGCTTGGTTAGTGATGCCTTTTGGCTTCCCCAATGCCCCTAACGCTTTCATTCATCTAAATCATGTACTTAAGGATTGTGTAAGTAAGTTTTAGTATTTTATTTCACTAATTGTGGTCTCACATCTTTTGAAGGGACCAATGGAATGGATGAGCTTAAAGATTTAAGGTCAAATCCTTCCCAAGAAGGAGGAAATGATGGAGGACCATCCTTGGAGCTTCATGTGGGACCCATCAATAGGTCCATGGCTAGGAGATTGGAAGAGGATAGGGGAGCTAACACCCCTAGAGGCATGCTTCTTATGGTTAAAGAATATTGATCTTTCTCCTAAGCTTTGTTAGTGTACTGTCCGTACTGCAAGGCCAAGCTCCCAGCTCGGCGTTACAGCACAAGATGACCTCGGGCACGCACTACGCAACGTTAGCTCGGCATTTAAGCAGATCATAACTGATCTCAAGGTATCTCGCTCCAGTTGAGATCCACTATCTGATCTTATCATATCTTATCTCAGGCCCAAGGCCCAAAGCAACCCTAATTCACACTAAGGTACGTGCATTACTTATACGAGATTCATACTCCCACAAACACTAACTTTAGCATCGGAGTCTCTTTTGCAGGTACCACCCCCATCTTGGAGCACTGATCTGCTTAAATGCCGAGCTAACGTTGCGTAGTGCGTGCCCGAGGTCATCTTGTGCTGTAACGCCGAGCTGGGAGCTTGGCCTTGCAGTACGGACAGTACACTAACAAAGCTTAGGAGAAAGATCAATATTCTTTAACCATAAGAAGCATGCCTCTAGGGGTGTTAGCTCCCCTATCCTCTTCCAATCTCCTAGCCATGGACCTATTGATGGGTCCCACATGAAGCTCCAAGGATGGTCCTCCATCATTTCCTCCTTCTTGGGAAGGATTTGACCTTAAATCTTTAAGCTCATCCATTCCATTGGTCCCTTCAAAAGATGTGAGACCACAATTAGTGAAATAAAATACTAAAACTTACTTACACAATCCTTAAGTACATGATTTAGATGAATGAAAGCGTTAGGGGCATTGGGGAAGCCAAAAGGCATCACTAACCAAGCACATAGGAAAATTTAAAAAAATTTGGTGACCCCATGCAATTCATTCATCAAATCATCTATCTTAGGGATTGGATGCCTAAACTTTATTTAATGATGGCTTTCATAAACGGTGCTCATCCTCTATTGCCATCTTTCTTTGGCACCAAAAGAATGAGGATGGCACAAGGGTTAAGGTTTTCTTGAACCTAGCCCTTCTTTCTCTCCAAAAAGAGAATTCTTTTGTTTTTGTTTTTGTTTTTGTTTTTGCTTTTCTCCTCTTCATCTTTCTTGGCTTTCAATTTGAGTTGGTCCTCACTCATTTGAAAAGGTGATAGAGGACACCACACAAATTTCTTACCCAAGTGTTGGAAACTTATTTTATTTGTGAGGCCATCATGGATTGTTTTCTTGTCAAATTGCCATGGCCTCCCAAGAAAGACATGACTAGCCTCCAATGGTATTATGTCACACAAAACTTCTTTTTTATATTTACCAATGGAGATTGGTATGCTTGCTTGTTGATTAACTACAATACCTCTTTCCTCATTGATCCATTGCATTTTGTAAGGTTTAGGATGAGGTTTTGTAGTTAAGGGCTAACTTATTAACCAACCTAGTACTACAACAATTTGAACTAGACCCGCTATCTACAATGAGAGAACAAGTGTTTTCTAAAACTTTGCATTTTGTGTGAAACAAGTTCTCTCTTTGAGATTGGTCAATTTCACTTGGTTGATTGTTAAGAAGCCTTCTAACCAATAGTAAGTCTCCTTCATAAGGTAAGATTTCTTCCTCGGAATCTATGGCTTCTTCTTCACTACTAGAGGAAGATGAAGTAGCTTCATCAAGGCTATTATAGTAATCTTGGGCTTTTAAAATCATAGTTTTCTTTGTAGGACATTGAGAAGCAATATGTGTTCTTCCAAGACACTTGAAGCACTTGATGTCACTTGACTTAGATTCTTTGGAAGGTGCTTTGAAAGATGATTTTTCTTTTTCTTTATCTTTTTCCTTTTCTTTTTCTTCTTTGGGAAAAGGTTGGGAAGAGTGGCCCTCTTTCTTAAAACTCTTAGAATAAGAGGGAGTGGAGTCTTTTTGAAAAGATTTTCTTTTTAGTTGATGCTCCACCCTTGAGAAAAGTTGAATAAATTCATTCAAATCTCTATAAGGAAAAAGTTCAACTTTGTCTCTTATCTCAAGATTAAGACCACTTTGAAATCTAGAGATTGTGGTCCTCTCTTCCTCCCTAATCCCAGCCCTCATCATTAGCAACTCCATAGATTGTCTATATTCTTCCACACTAGATGACCATTGTTTTAATCTTTGAAGTTTATCCATGAGTTCTCGGTCATAGTATGGAGGAATATGTCTCCTTCTCAAGGCACTACGGAGCTCATTCCAATATTGGATTGGGGGCTCATGATTTATTCTCCTTTCTTTTTCTAAGGAGGTCCAAGGTAGCTTGTAGTGTAAGCTAACCTTAACCATGGTTAACTAGGAACCATGGTAAGGTGTAGCTAACCATCCATGGTTTCTAAAACTTGTAGGAGAAGCTAACCTTGACCATGGTTCACTTAAGAACCATGGTAAGGTCAGCCAAACCTACTAAGGTTTAGAAGCTTGGAAGGAACAAAAACAAAAACAAAAGAATTCTCTTTTTGGAGAGAAAGAAGGGCTAGGTTCAAGAAAACCTTAACCCTTGTGCCATCCTCATTCTTTTGGTGCCAAAGAAAGATGGCAATAGAGGATGAGCACCGTTTATGAAAGCCATCATTAAATAAAGTTTAGGCATCCAATCCCTAAGATAGATGATTTGATGAATGAATTGCATGGGGTCACCAAATTTTTTTAAATTTTCCTATGTGCTTGGTTAGTGATGCCTTTTGGCTTCCCCAATGCCCCTAACGCTTTCATTCATCTAAATCATGTACTTAAGGATTGTGTAAGTAAGTTTTAGTATTTTATTTCACTAATTGTGGTCTCACATCTTTTGAAGGGACCAATGGAATGGATGAGCTTAAAGATTTAAGGTCAAATCCTTCCCAAGAAGGAGGAAATGATGGAGGACCATCCTTGGAGCTTCATGTGGGACCCATCAATAGGTCCATGGCTAGGAGATTGGAAGAGGATAGGGGAGCTAACACCCCTAGAGGCATGCTTCTTATGGTTAAAGAATATTGATCTTTCTCCTAAGCTTTGTTAGTGTACTGTCCGTACTGCAAGGCCAAGCTCCCAGCTCGGCGTTACAGCACAAGATGACCTCGGGCACGCACTACGCAACGTTAGCTCGGCATTTAAGCAGATCATAACTGATCTCAAGGTATCTCGCTCCAGTTGAGATCCACTATCTGATCTTATCATATCTTATCTCAGGCCCAAGGCCCAAAGCAACCCTAATTCACACTAAGGTACGTGCATTACTTATACGAGATTCATACTCCCACAAACACTAACTTTAGCATCGGAGTCTCTTTTGCAGGTACCACCCCCATCTTGGAGCACCAGCGTACCAGTAAAGGAGGCTCACCGATCTTACCAGGCGGATCAGTTCTACAGTAGATTTCCGGTAAGAACATTTGGCGCCCACCGTGGGGAAATCAACTTGCAGACATACTCACCAAGGGGCTGAACTGCACTAACTTTGAAAGAATTATATCCAAGCTAGGAATGGAAAACACCTATTCACCAGCTTGAGGGGAAGTGTCAAAACCGTGATTGGCGTTGTGTATTTTAGGAAGTTTTATATTTGCTATGCTGTATTTCTGTAACTGTCTTATGCTGCCATTATTAGATTTATTTATGCAGGATTAATCCCGTAATCATAGGGATTTGTCTCCTTAGAATTAACTATCCATATTTCCTAAAATAGGCTGCAGATTCATGTATATATATAGAGGTTTAATAACCTCATAAATCAATAAGAGAGAATATTATTTCTTCTAAATTTGAGATAAATTTGAGAATAAATATACCAGGACCAGCTTAACATGGTGAATAAGTAACAGTATTTGATGTGACACTCATCCTTATGTACTTCAAGAAGTATTTTCAGTAACAATCAATGAAGAACTTACCCAAGGACATAGATGTCAGCTGGTTCACTGATACCTAGCCAATCATCAATATCAAGGTCGTCAGGTGGAAGTTTTCCTCCTACATTCCACGTCCCAACACATACCCTAGTAGGCAAATATACACCAGAATCCATATATGAGTGGTTTCAGCAATAACGCTAAATAAATTGTGCTTTTTAAACTTTCAAATCATTGCACGTACTTTTCATTCTTGCTTGCTAAATAAATATGAGAATAGTGTCTCACCTCAGCTCCTTTTTGTTTATATACTGAGATCTAAAAGTAGATGACTTTTGCCTCCTTAACTTTGGAAGAAATTCTGTAATTCAATAGAAATTTAGGCTATTAAATGGCAATAAATTAAAGCAATATACTAAACCTTCACAGTTCACAATTAACAGGAGATGAAAAATCAGAAACTCCTCAAATAAGATGTTAGAGCTAGATGTTCATGGAGCTACTGATTTATGCAGCAAGCTATGACCTTTTATCATAAGTTGCTTTGAGAAAAGAAGAAAGTCTCCACGACAGGAATAATGTTATACAGGTTTAAAATTTGCATTACATGACACTGAACAATTTGATTTTGCATTATTTAGCAAACATGTATATTTTTCTGCAGGACATACTTTCAATTTAGTATACCTACATTCAGAGACCTAAGTCTATATCTATATTCAAATGCAGAAAATCAAATAATTTCCAAGTGCCACCTACTACAGGAGAAATTATCCAAAGTGACAAGCAAGCATCAATAAATCCTAGTTTCAGAATTATAGATATATATCATTGTTAGTTTTTATAGCACTCAAAAGCCTTTATTACGCCAATCTTGAAAGTCTGTTAGAGAAAATAAATAAATCTTTGCAATTCACAGATGATAAAAAAAGTGTTCCCCGTACACAAAAGTTACCTTTGGATTCAGATGGAGCTTCATCTTCATCACGTCTGTTATTTGCAAACCGTGACTGTCTTCCCCATTCTACATAACACACCAAACTTAAAGTGAGTGTGAGAGATTTTGACAGCCAAGAGACAAAAAAGAGATAATCAAACACAGACTTGAAGACTATGGGTCTGTTTGATTAATCTTCTTCAGAAGCATTTCTAGAAGAGAGAAAAATAAAAAGGAAAAATGAAATGAGTTTCTCTATAAGCTAATTTGTAAAAAAATTCTCCAATTAACTTCTCAAAAATCTTATTTTTAACTTGAGAAACTTATTTCCATTTTCCATCCTATTCTTTTTTCTCTCAGAAGTGTTTCTAGTAAAGTTTACCCATCCAGGCCCTGTAACACCCAGAATCAGAAACAACCCCAATTCAGACTTTTTCTATATCATTTGACAATTAACACACCCACCCAATTGATCCAAGTGCACAAATTTCGAAATTCAAATCAAATTAACAAAATCCACAGCAACCCACTTCCCCCACATTCAGAAACAAAAGCACACACTCCAAATGACAACATAACCACTGTTGTATAAACTCACCTTCATTGTCTGAACCACTTTCAGAATCATCATCGTCATCATCAGGATCAGCACTGTAATCAGACTCATAGCTTCCCATGTTAAGCCACTTGCGCATGACCACCTTTGCCCAGAAGAGCTGTATGCAGGACCAACCCAAACAACATATTTCAGCCCAAGTCCTCTGCAATTTGCCTCACTTTCCCAAAATTAACAAACCCCACAACACTAACAACCACAACCACCACACACAAAAAAAAAGAAAAAACATCACAGAGTGAAGGAAAAAAAAAAAAAAAAAGTACCTGTTGGTGGTGCGGTGACCTATGATGCTTCATCACTGTTGAAAAATGGGTACCAAAATATAACCATCCAGAATGAAAAAAATGAAAATGGGTAAGAGAGAAGATTATTGAGTTGCCTTTACAAAAGAATTGCTGTTGGAGCTGAAAAAAAAATGTGCTCCTTTTTTCTCTCAAAGATTCTGGGGCTTTGACTGTGGAATTTAATTAGAGAAGTTTTAGGGGTTGGTTAAGAGAAACTTTGCATTATACAACTTCAATCAAATAAATAAAGGACAAAACCACAATGGGGTTTGACACAGAATTTTTAGCAAAAGTGTGGTTATCAACAACATTTGACATGTTATTATATGACGGCAATAAGTGGTCCATCGATGACACTAAGTTGCGATGGACGGTTAGATTATTCAATATTCATCATTCAACTATTAAATTTTATAGATTTTTTTTTCTCTATCTTTTGTTTGTACTTTTCACAATCTATTTGGAATGGTAATGCGTGTACATCCCTTTTATATTTGTACGCTGATAATTTCTTTGTTGCTTCTTTTGTAGGATATGTAGCAATGGAAGGAGATAAATAAACTAATAAAGTATATGTAGGAATTACAATAATTACAAAAAAATAAAGTGGTGGGGGAAATAAATTATATCTATAATCTAGGTAATGATGTTTGGATACTTGGTACAGAAATTTTCAGTCATAATATATATATATATATATATATATATAAGGAAATCTAATTAAAATATTGATAGAAGTCTAGTTTAATTGAAGTTAAACTCGACCAGGCGGAGTATTCAGGGAAGAGTCATATATATTGTTGTAATTAAATTATGAGTAGTATTCAGCCAAAAATAATAAATAAATAAATAAATAAACAAGTAAATTCTAAGTCTTTTTTATGTGAATTAAACTATAATAAACAGATAGTTCGAGATTATTTTTTTTAAGAAGTAGAAATCGTCAAATTAGATAAACGAAGTATTTTCTATACAAAAAAAAAGATTGAATATTTATTGTCAAGTTTAAGTAACTCAACTATTTTTACTGTCAAATACATCATGCCTTGTTAGTGTCAAAGTAGGCACATAATCATAAATTTTACCACAATAATAAATTCCTTTACATTAAAATACATTTTTTTATATATAAGAGGTTAATTATGTAAAAGTCAGAAAAATAATTATTAATGATTAAACTTGTTAGAAATAAACAAAATTAAAAAATATAAATAATGTATTTTTTCACCTAAATCTACTTGTATCACTCACATAAAAAAATATTCTTTATATTTATCTATATCTATACAGCTATATAATAAAATATATTAAATGATTGATAAATGTTTTTTTCACATTTTTTTAAGATTATTTTAACTCTATAACTATTTCAAATCACCCACACTTTCCAATTACAAATAATCAAATACTGTTTAACTTCTATTATCTCTATTTTTATTTTATTTTTTTAAAATACATAGAGACACACAAAGTAATTCTTCTTTTTTAATATATATAAACATTAAAAGAGAAGAAAAAATAAAACTTGCCCAAGTAACCACCAATCCACCATTAAGCAATATTTTTTATTCAACTAGACTAGAGGGAAGAATTGAAGAAGGAAATGCCTCTTGTCCACGGTATCCAATGAAGACCTCACCTATCAAACTTCACTTTATTTATTATTATTATACTTTATGTCTAGAAAATGAGCAATGAAGTCATTTGTTTGGCTTACCCTGCTTAACTTTTGTTGGCACTCACTTTTACCAGTTCTAAAGTTACTCTATGTCGTTGCACAAATGCATTGATTAAAACTCAATTAATTCATTAATTAATATTAACAAAGAGGGGGTTATTGCAATGTGAGAAGCAAACAAATAATGGGGATTTGGACGGTGTTGAACCCAACAAACTTTTCATCATTACTCTAATAAGAAAACAGAGCAATTAGATAAGCAAGAATGAAGAAGTGATCATATGATCATGTATAGCACCAAAGTTCACTACTATTGGTTCCCATTTTAAAGGATATGATATATAACTATGAAATTTTAAAATAACAATCATAATATAAAATAATTTGTCTATGTCAAAGTAATTAATAAACACGAGGATAACCATAAGGTGGGCTAAATAAGCTTAAACAAACAAAAGTCCAATTAGTAATATATAGTAGTACTAGGGGTAAAGGATAAGAAGGTATTAAGAATTCATTGTTGAATTATTTTATAATCTAATCGGTTAAACTAAAAGAAGATGTGGTAAACTAAGGAAGCATTAGAGTATAAAATAAATTCATATCTGAAAAAAAAAATGAATTTAATTAATTATACCACATGCGAGTTCATGGGGGAAGATGAGCCACATGGAATTGAAGAAAGGTTGGAAAAGTTGGAGTTGAGTCATTGTTGAAGGTGATCATCACATCAAATTTATCAAGAGAGGGTCACTCCACAATATACTTCTTAAAGAGCATTAATTAATAAGGTTGTATTGTGGAGATGATGTATGTACCGGAGAGACCGTATCGGTCACGTGGGCCAACACGTGCCATTTCGTCAGACACTCATGCATAGTAAGCCACGTACAAGCATTACCATCAACGTCGGCTCGGCATGAGGCTGAGAACCGACGTCAGTCTGGTTAATGCCAATATGGACCATCATCACTTATCGAGTCGGCTCGGTCAAGTACCGTTCCGACATAGGTCAAACCGGAAGTATACAAGCTGCCGTATACAGACTAGACGGCTCGGTCATTTGCCGTTCCGACTAGTATTGAATAGTCGGCTCGGCCTCTTGCCGAAGGGTTAAACAAGTTATAACGGTAATCACAATTAAGAAAGGTAAGTACATGATTAAAGCCTAACAACCAATTAGTACCGTATTACCTAATTTGGTAAATATCTGAGAGGGCCCATCACGCTCAGGCCCATGTCAGATACTATAAATAGGTCACACATAACAAGGTATGTCACTGTTCATTAATTATCCTAGAATATCGTGTTTGTACTGACTTGAGCGTTGGAGTACCTTTTGCAGGTACCTCCCCCCTCTGAAGAATCCGTTTGAAGTATCCGTTCGGCCCTTCTTACCAAGAAGACTACGAGTGTATCCTTAAGCAGGTACAATGTATATGTACACGAATGAACACACAAAACTTGCTAGACATTGCACGCATTACTTTTGTTTTCTCTTGTTATCGCTTCTCCTTTTGGTATGGGTGTGTCCTTTTCACTCAAAGAATAATTACATTTTTTTATTGTGTTAATGATCACAAAACACTATGTAATTTTATCAACAAAATAATACACTATGAACTATACAATTATTGCTTATTATTTTATATAGTTAATTACATGTACATGTGTAATTGTGTATGTATATAAATTGTAACTTCCTTTTTTGGTATATGGAAGACACCAAACAACCATCTAACTACACTATGATTAATTTTTTTAAAAAAATTGACAAAAATTGATTTTTTTTTATGAATATGATTCACCTAATATTCTTAAACTAATAATGACTAATTTATACTCGCATAACGTAGTCAGTGATAATTAATACCATTAAATCCATTTGTTTTTTTCATTATAAAACAATTGACACATTTATAAGTTTGTTAAGACTAAAATATAAATTGCCCTTTAAAGTTTATCAGTAATACTGGAGATATCTTGTAGCATAGATAAATAATAATAAATAAATAAAAGCAATTTATTAGTCTAGAAATTCAAAGAGGGTAGGGAAGGAAAAAAAAAAGTCCCGTGTGCTTTTCCAATTCCAATCCAAATTAATGGCAACTGCCAATTAAACTGATTCCCTTCTCTTTGCACTTTAGAGCAAAAGCAACAACATCTTTATATTAGGGATTCTTTCTTTCTCTCTCTACATAGGAAAGAAGTAGTTTTCCTAACTAAAAGTATATATATTAATTATGATAATTATTTAATTAAATTTTATGAAAAATAATTTTTATTAGTGGGAAATTAAAGAGCAAACTACAATCTCAAAGAAAACTTTAAAAGAAAATTTTAATTGTTATTCTCATTAAAACCAATACAATTGTAGTAAAGAGTTTTAATTAAAAGAACTACATCATGATTATTTAAAAAGAACGTTATCTAAATGCAATTCTGCAATTCTGTGATACTAGTATATTGATAATCGCATTTAAACAGAATCTACGGTTACCAATAAAATGTATTTTATTAAATAGTTGAACAAGAAGATGAGGGAAAACCAGATGGCAACTTGATTAACAGAAATAATTATTAATTGGTTTCCTGGTGCCAGCAAGATTCTTCTATACCTTCGTTTTAGGGCATCATTTTTTTCCACAAAAGTGGTTTGAACCTAAAATTATATGACTGAATGTTTTGGGCCACACAAGTTGTTGTTTGTTCTTTATATTATATTATATATATATATATATATATATATATTTCTTTAAAGACATAGTCCTATAGAATATTCGAGGTTTAGATTCAACAACATTTGGGATCAAGTCTTCTTTCCACTAACGCCAAGTGTCACACTCTAGTTAACTAATCATGTCATAATATAATATTAGAACTTTAGCATATTAGTGTTAGAGTTTTGACAAGTATTATGTAGAGAGCTGCTTAACATGTTTCTAGCTATTGTATAATAATTATATTTTTGTGTAATTATTTCAAAATTTTCTTTTAATTCTATTCTCTTTCCTATAAATATATATATAAAAGAAAGTAATGTTAATGTGCAATCGTGTATATAAGCAATTTTCTTCTTTTCTTTTCTAAGTCTTTCCAAGACTTTGTAAGGGTTGGGTGTACCTTTTAATTCTTTATCTTCTTTTTCCATGAAACTTTTTTTTGTTGATAAAAAAAATGTGCAATCATGTATAAAATGAAAATAATAAAACTATTTATTTGGGAAAAAAAATGCATAGTCTTTAAAGGCTAATTTTACTTTTGATAATTAGGGTTACTAACTTTAGTTTGAAAAATATTTTTTAACAAAATCTTCGTCCCTATTTTTTAACTTTTCTTACACAATTATTGAATAATTTATTTTGAAATTTGAAATCAACGCTTTTTAAGGTTTCTTTATGATATAATTAAGCAAGTTGTAATATTAGACGATAGTTTTTATATTTTAACTATGATTTTTTATTTATCTAATTAATTAATTAGTAATTAATTAGAGAAATAGTTACATTCTTTATATTCTATATATATATATATAATAAAATAATGCAAAAAAGTTTAATGATATTTAAATAGTAGTATATCAGTATAATTAAATCTGTCTTTAGTGTCCTATTCATTCGTGCTTCATACCTAAAATTTTGACAAACATAAAATTGCCGACAAAAGCATACGATCGATTCAAACCATGTTGATCACCAGCAAAAGGTGGCACCCTGAATTATATATACCACCATCAGAGATGCATGCATGTTATTATGTGAATGTTTGTTCTACATAATCATTATAACACAAAGCCATGTTTAACAAAACAAATCTAGTTTCATGTAAAATTGATGCTATTGTGTTTGTCTCGTAGCTCGTATATATATAGATCATGAAATAATGCTCTATATGACAAGGTATAGATAATT